CGGCCCCTCAGGGCAGCGGGAGGCCACAGGCCGCCGTCAGCCTCCGGTTTTGTTCTTTTTGTTGGTTTTTTTTTTTCATTTTTGTCTGGTGCGTGTGTGAAAATACAGATGTAAATCCTCAAGTCCCTGCGCAAAGCGCCTCTAAAAGCGCTGTCAAGCAGCCAAGCCTTCTAGAAAAACCACTTGCGAGGGAAAACTTTTAATCACTTCACCTCCAGCCCAAGTACCTGTTTTCTTTGCTGACCATTCGCCAGGAAAGGAAAAAAAAGGTAAATGCTGTGGGTGGTTGGCGTGGCAATTCCGCAGAGGTCAAGCATTGCTTCAGAATAACCAAAATCGAATGTAATTTAGGAGATTCTATCCTCTCACAGGTGGTTCTGTACATCCAGAAGAGCATCCTCACAAAAGAGACTTTTATACCATTCGCAGGGCAAAAGTCACCAGGGCTGTGTGAAGAGCTAGAACACCAGGTGAGACATTTTTTTTTTTAATAACAGTATAAGCTTAACTTAAGCCATGTTGCGTTACAAAATGCATCCCGGTGACATTTTTTTTCCCTTTGCAGAAGCATAAGAGAATTTTCTGTATAGAAAAAGATCGGTAAATGCTTTTGAATAAGCCAGAAAGAGAAAAAAAAACAGGTTGAGTAGAATATGAACAAGGATACTGTGGTTCCTTACTAAGCAACAAGATTAATAGTAATTAATTTTGTGTGTGTGTATCTGTGAAAATACAGATGTAAATCCTCAAATCCCTTCACAAAGGGCCTCTAAAAGCGCTGTCAAGCAGCCAAGTGTTCTAGAAAACCAGTTTCGAGAGAAAACTTTGGATCACTTTACCTCCAGCCCAAGTACCTGTTTTCTTTGCTGACCATTTGCAAGGAAAGGAAAACAAATAAATACTGTGGGTGGTTGGCGTGGTCAAGGGTTGTTGTTACAGAATAAACAGAATCGAATGTAATTTAGGAAAAGGGAATGCATTTTACTAAGAAAATAGAAGACCAGAATACACATTTCAATAGAGTTACAACATAATACAAGAGGGAAAAACCCCAACAAGTTCACATTTAAATACAATTTTAGTGTCAGCTGAGCAGTCACCCTCCCAGGTAAAGTCAACCCCAGACAGATTAGGCTGGAACTGTTCTCACAAGCACTCCAGTAGACTTAGGTTTATTTGCGTAAGATAGATCATGTTTAAGACAGAAATAAATGTAAATTACATTGACATTTTATTTCTTGACAAACTGGCCATCTTACTATGTTTGTGTAGTCCTAAAAGTATTTTTATTTCCATTTTCATGAGACAGGAACTACTTAAAGGATGGGTAAGTCAAAGGTACTCAGAGTTAAGTTCAATCCAGTACTGACTTTGTGTGCAGGGAACATAAACACAGGCCGTAGGGTTCCTGCACCCCCAGGAAAATGTCTGATTGGAGAGAGCTTTTTACATGAGCCGTGGCTGTGGTCCACCGTGCCACCAGGTACCTGGATTCCCCACGTACGACGTGGCTGTTCCCACATCTCCCTCTGTAAGCTTCATCCTCACCGAGCGCTGCGATTCAGGGAGCGACGGGAGGAAGCTGAGGTTTAAAGCGTGCTGGATTTGCCTCACGGTTCACCCAGAACAGCTGCAGGCTTTCCGACACCATGGTGATGTGTATTTTGGGAGTAGGTAGGTAGGTCAAGGTAGCTTGAGACAGAATTAGATGTCCCTTCACCAGCGGCAGCTGAATTAAATTGCTCAAATTCAGATGGCAAGTGGGTGCAATTAGAGCTCTGCTCTAGATTTTCTCCTTGCTCCAGTGCTCAATGTAACACCAGTCCTTGCCTGTGACGTACAGCTGTTATGAAACGGGATAGGAGTATGCGTCACCTTAAAAGGAGTCGAAAAACAACAATGGTTTTCTTAAACTCAGGAATAGCACTTAGAGCCGAGAAAGAACTGGAGTCCAAACTGTCCTGGTCTTACAGTCCGACCTCAGAGTCTTGTAGATACCGTGATCAGAACAACAGAGATGCTCAAAACTGCACCTTTGAAGTCAAGAAGACCCAGAGCAAATGAAAGACAACTTGGATTTACTTAGGCCCAGAGTCAAGCTGAACTAAAATTCACAGTTGTAGCTGTACAGTAGGGATCCCGGCTCTCCTACAAGAGTAGTCACCAGATAGGGCCGCTAACAAAAAACTGAAAGGTGTATCATTAATCTTTTGCAGTCACTACCAGAGGAGTGTCACAAGGAGTTACTTTACCCCCTCCCACAAAACAGTGTGCTGGAAACAAACAGGACAGAGAAGACATGCACCTACCACAGGAAACCTGTTAAAACACCATCTGCGTGTAAAGTGTTGCTTCGTTTTAAGCTTGGAAAACGAACACAGCATCATGAAACATCACTGATCACAAACAAACCCAAGAATTCAGGCGAGGAGTCACATTTTTAAATCTTATCGGGTTTTAAAAAAAATATATTGGACACAACATTTTAATAGGCTTCCTCTACACGTCAGTCGTTGGCACGTGCTTCAGGAGTGTACAAACCTTTGTAACATCTTTGAACAAGAACACACGTATTTAATAAATAAAGGCTGCGCTCCCTTAGCTCCCTTTCCTCTCCTCCCCTAGCTGTTTCTATACATTGCTGCCAAGAGGCTCAGCCCTGCTCCTGTTGATTTTAAGGAAGTAAATCTTAGACCAGTCCTGGAAAAGACTGAGCTACTGACCTCAACGGGAGTTTCTATCCTCTCACAGGTGGTTCTGTACATCCAGAACAGCATCCTCACAAAAGAGACTTTTATACCATTCGCAGGGCAAAAGTCACCAGGGCTGTGTGAAGAGCTAGAACACCAGGTCAGGCATTTTTTTTAATAACAGTATAAGCTTAACTTAAGCCATGTAGCGTTACAAAATGCATCCTGGTGACAAATTTTTTTCCCTTTGCATAAGAGAATTTTCTGTATAGATAAAGATTGGTAAATGCTTTTGAATATGAAACATGAAAAAACAGGTTGAGTAGAATATGAACAAGGATACTGTGGTTCCTTACTAAGCAGCAAGATTAGCAGTAATTCATTCAAAGATATCTGAAGAATACACAAAACAGAAGATGAATATATTTAAAAAAAAAATAATCTGAAAAAGATGAAAAGGAGAGTGAAATGAACTTAACACTTCATAAACTGACACGTTACCCATTGCTAAGAGAAAACAATGGCTGTATGTTAAAGGTAAAATTCTGCTGTGGCTGTTTACAAGTTACAGACCCACAGAACCTGATTAAACGGTGTCCACAGGTGTGTATAACTAGATAAAATCTAACAGGTACCACTTTGCTACCCTAACTGGGCCAGGTTAGAGACACAGTCAGGCCTTCTTCAGAGCTCTGACCCATCCGCAGCCCCATCAGGGCAGGACTGTTTGTAACTGGAACCTCACAGTCGGTTAAAGAATGGGTTTTTTTTCCTCACCTGAGCAGTGGGATTTCCTGAAAAATGACACAGGAACATTTGTACTTGGAAGGGAAAGGCCCACACCTCACAAAATAGGCACCTGCCAGCGGCTGCTGCGTGCTTCCTACACAGGAGCTCCCCTTGGGAACCAAACAAATCCCTTCTGCCCAAAGCAAAACTCCTACTGCACCCAGGTAACACTATTTTCCTATCAGTGCCCCACTGACGCTGGACCACAACCTGCACTTCTTGCCTGAAAAAAAAAAAAAAAATCATCAGACTGAATGGATGGATGATCTTTATTTTGTAAGACAAGAGTTATATTTATGGACCAACTGCCCTGCCCTCTGTGATCACTCTCAGGCAGGACACAAGATCAGTGCACGGGATATTTTTGTTACTCATTCTGCCTAATTAGTGTGTTGGCAGCTCTGAGGAAATGTGCGTTCCCAAGATACTCGAATCTGATGATGCAGAACTCCGCTGACACACCGCCACAGGCTTCAGCTAGAGTTAAATTTTCAGAAGGTAAAAACAATTTGTACACTCAATAAATAATTATTTTTTTTTTCAGTAAGGTCACAAATTTAAATACAATAAAAACCAGGCATAGCAAAAATAGATGAAAAAAGCATTCTTTGTAAAAACATCCTATGTGTGTTGGTCTTTTTATTTTGTACATATACTTACATACAGGAGTTGCAAACCACATACGTCGCCCAACTTGGCAATGTAGCATTTTGAGCCCCACCAGACAGCACTTTACCACAGTTTGAGTATGCAGTCTTTTCCCCACAGCTTTTCTGTGTTTATATAATCAGTCTTCTCACTTAGGTAAAGCCTTCTCAAAGTTTCCTGTCCTTTCTAATACATCATTTTCAATTCAGAGGCTAGGCAGTACACGACAGAGACCACATCTGAGGGGGTACAGAGATTATTTTCCTTGTTCTATTTTGCACCTATTCTGTGGAGACTGCATTTTCCAATATAAATGAGGATATGAGAGAGGTGCTTGCCACAAGTAAATCCTGAGCAAGCTTTACTTCACGTCTCTGGCTTCAAGTTTGCCAGTATAGCCCTTTTACATCTATCTATTTATTTATTTTTGTTCGTTGCCTTGATGCAGCAAACTGTGGAACAGCACACTTGCTATCTTTATTATTTCTGTTCCTGACGTACCATTGTTCTTGTTACAGAGACCAGATTTAGAGAAGTCACAGACTGTAACTACCCCTGCGTGTCCTTGTCTGCCAACAGAAAGTAACAGAGGGCACTCAAACCTGATACAAAAAAAAAATTAAAAGGAATGCCCATAGTGGTGTCTGTATCAAATGTGCAATCCGAAGGGAAAATTCAACTCGCCATTTTTGTTTCCTCACGAAACCCCTGACAAATTAAACCTGTAAACGGAGTGAGGAAGATGGAAGTGATCAACGTCAAGAGCTTCTAAGCATCAGATCTTTCGAGTCCTGTATTCAAACTGAAATAAATATACTGGACTGAGACCACAAGAAACAATTCGGTCAAACTTGTGTAAAAGTGGGTGTCAATAGCTGCCTGTAACACTTCCTCTTTCAGCTTCATCAGCTGCCTGCGGGGGGGGTTGTTCGAAGTGGCAGGTGAGTCCACTTAGGAGTTTTTGAGTCAGCGATGTCACGAAAACATCACACACAAGTCTTTTTGTAAGAACAAGGGTATGCAAGGGAGAAAACAATTTAGCGTAGAAGAAACAGAACCCTGAACAAATTAATGGAACAAAAATCCTTTGGTACATCACCTTGGAGTCCACTGCAGAAAATCTCCTGGTAAAAATCTCGAAAAGATTTCCATAAATTACTTCAGATCCTGCCTTCACATTATAGCATTCATTAGGCAACGGCGTAGCTTTGTCTTTAAAAGCTATTAAGTGATTGATATTATTTTTCAGGCTTTCCAAGGATAATTTTCACTAGTTCACATTTTTTCCTGATAACAGATCCCACACGACGATGAAAACACAAACCACAAACATTGCTGTAGATCCCACATGTGCACACCACGCTGCTCCTCAAAGCACATTCAAAGAAACAGAGCAGCCAATGCCACAAGGAAGTCTGGACAGGGGCATCTTTAAATACCAGACAAAACAGAAAGCCTATTAGACTGTAAAATTTGTCTTAAGCTGTCCTTTTCCCTTTTTTAAAATTTTGTTATTTTTTTATTTTTTTAGACCAATGCTCTCCGGTGATGTCACGGATAATGCAGTGTGACAACACCAGGACAATTAGGAGACTGATTATTAAAAGCAGAAATAAATCATTTTGGAAATCAGCAGTGATGAGAGAGCTATAGTTCATCATCAAATGCACATAGCTAAAACATTAATGGAATTTTTTAGTGGTGCCAGCTCTAAGCTAGAAATGCAATGGCATTATTTAAATTAATTTTGGAGAGCTCTCTCATTCCTGTGACGGATGCCAACATCCATACAGTTCATCAGGTACTTTGGAGAGTGGGGAGAAATCTGTGTCAAGTGAAAAACTGGGTAGAAGGGAAGACAAGACAACAAAATGAGCAAAAATAAATTACAGGACTCAAAGATCATGATTTAAATAGGTTTGAAAAAGGGATCCCTGCAGAATAGAAGATACCGCCTGAGGAGAGCAATCTTCTGATGCATCAGTGAACCTTAGATTCAGGCCAGTCATACACATCTGGCATGAAGGATTCGTACTCGTAGGTCCAAACCTTTGATCGAATGTAACGGTTCTTGTCTGCAGGTTCAGGGTAATGGAAAGCCATGTTGTTTGCATACAAAAATTCCATAACCTGAAAAGTTAAAATCACCAAGCGGTTTGTGCCTTTTACTGCACTTGCGTAACATCTGTGTTTCCACTGTGATACGCTACAGACTCACAAAGTGGGTTAAAGACAAACACCAAAGTCTCTTTATAGAATCCAAGAATCCTTCAGGTTGGAAAAGCCCCTCGGGATCATCGAGTCCAACCCTCAGCCCGACTCTACAAAGTTCTCCCCTACCCCACATCCCCCACAGCTCATCCCAACGGCCCTGAAACCCCCCCAGGGATGGGGACTCCCCCCTCCCTGGGCAGCCTGTTCCACTCTCGGACCACTCTTGCTGGGAAACATTTTCTCCTCCTGCCCAGCCTGACCCTCCCCTGGGGCAGTTTCCAGCCGTTCCCTCTTGTCCTGTCCCTGATCCCCTGGGAGCAGAGCCCAGCCCCAGCCTCTCTGCAATGTCCTGTCAGGAGCTGCAGAGAGGGATGAGGGCTCCCCTCAGCCTCCTCCTCCTCACACTGAACACTCCCAGCTCCTTCCCTGGCTCCTCACAGGATTGATTCTCCAGCCCTTCCCCAGCCTCGTTGCCCTCCTCTGCCCTCGCTCCAGCCCCTCCAGATCTCTCTGGGATTGAGGTGCCCAGACCTGGACACAACGCTCCAGGTGTGGCCTCACCAGTGCAGAGCACAGGGGACTGTCACCTCCCTGCTCCTGCTGGCCACACCAGTGCTGACACAAGCCAGGATGCCGTTGGCTTTCTTGCCCACCCGGGCACACGCTGGCTCCTGTTCAGCTGCTTGTCCATGAGAACCCCCAGACCCTTCTCTCCCAGACAGCTCCAGCCACCCCTCCCCGAGCCTGTAGCCACGCAGGGGGTGGTTGTGGCCCAAGGGCAGGACCTGGCACTTGCCCTTGTTGAAGCTCGTCCCACATGACAATTCCCGAATGCCTTACCAGGGATCTGAAAACTTAATTTCAGAAATGAAAGGAGCATAACTTTTGCCCATTATCATTGCCAAAAGGAAGCATCCAACAGACCCAAGTGTCTCTTATTAAAGGCACAAAGAACCAGGTGGTTTGTGCCCAAGCACCTTGTGTTCAAGGGTCATACTGTGCAATTCAGCTGGTTAATATACACATACAATATTTTTAGTACAGTCCACTTTTATGCTTCATACTCACCTTGACAGCAATATAAATAGAAACTTCCCTGATATTAGA